AACATCACTAATTGAATTCTTTGGTTGCTTGGGAGATAGTACCCATTCTTAACTACTGTATTCATTTACACCAATAATATAATAAAAGTTTAGAGCAGAGATCACATTCCTCTTAACCTAAATATTTCCTCAAAAATTGCAAGTTAAAGAGCAATTTACACACATAATGCAAAAAGAGGTAGTTCACAAATTGTAAATTTACTCATAACCAGTGAGAACTAGCCATAATATATACTACTTTAAAGTAGTCATTTATTTTCTATACATGATGCCTTTCATTTCAAATATATTTTCAATACACGATGCCCTTTGTTTCAAATATATTCTTATTAAAGCATTTGAATAACAAAGCTCCAATTATGTTAATCAAAAAACAAATGGGAAAATCACATAAGAGTTTTCTGCTCTCAAAATTATCCTGATTATTAAAAAGTGCTGGAACTGCAGCAATGATGATCATTTCTGGCATCATGGAATGAGAAAATAACAACTTTCTAAAAGACTAAGTCTAAAAGACTGGTGCTATGAAGAAAGCCTTTAGATATTCTTACTGATCAAGCAATGTGAATTAATATCATGTTCTAACCTTAAGGGAATAATCTCCAGCAGATGTGGAAGAGAGAGACCGGATTCCTGTCTGTATTTCATTTAGAAGCTGGTGGTCTCTACAGGTAGGATTCTCCAACCTTAGCCCAAAACATCTTCCAAAAAATTTAAGTGATGAATTTATACATTATCACTTACAGAAAATAATTCAAAGAAATGTAATTACATTTCCTTCTCCCTCCCCCCTTTTTCTTTCTGTGAGATTTGTACTAAATTGAGGCAAAAAGATTTTAGAAAAAAAAAAAAAAAAATTGAGGCAAAAAGATGAGTAGAGGGAAAAATAAATGTGATCCAAGTGACTTCAGAAAACTCTCTCAGCAGAGAATCTAAAGTTGCAAGCTCGTCATGAAAAGCACAGGGTGCAGATGCTGCTACAGTTTAGAACTTCACCAAATTGTCTGAAGTAATCACATAAAAGAGAAATACCCCTGAAGACTGTCGTCTTGGAAAAAAGATTAAAAATCTTTGTGAGTTCTTTAGGGCCAGTGCAAGAGTTACTGTAGAAGTTCTTGTTTAGTAATGAAACAGAATGGGGAAAATAACCGGTTGTAGCCGAGAGCTACATTTGGTGGCTTGAAATCAGCCATGGTGAGAGTATTTACACCACAGAAGTTGGCAGATGATGCAAATCAGGGCTTTGCTTGCCTTCTGTTTTCTTCGGAGCCAGTTAAAACAGTGCACCATTGAAAACTGCCCAGGGATTAGCATAGCCCTTAGAACCTGTGACAAAGATGTTTGAGTATGGCTTTGCAAGGAAGATTTTGGGGAATAATGAGTATTCTTTCCACAAGCATACTTCTTGTGGGGACTTCTAATACTCATCTTGTTAAAATTGTTTTATTTCTCTAGGAATTTGGATTTCATTGAATCCTTATTAGAAAGGATTTCTCTAAAATATGGCTCCTATTTCGCCTTTATTAAAAGCTAAAAGAATGGAGATAAAATATATATGGGACAGGAAACCCTCCTGGTTTCTAGGAAGCAGAAGTGGTATCCCAGGATAAACTGTAGTCATTGGAAAGGAGTCAAAGCCATAGAGACACCAGACCTCCCTTTTTTTTTTTTTTTGTGAATGACGGTGTTAAAGAATGTGACCCCTCTTAACTTCTCTACACCCCGTACATACAAATTGCTTATACTGATACAACCCTCAATGGTAACTCACTTCACACATCCATTTTCTTTCCTGTTATCACCAAGATTAAACAGCATGTTGGGGCAATATTCTGCATTTATCTAACCTTTTCACTCAGGCCACAGTGATACAACAGCACAGGTTTATGTACCTCACACGTCAGATCCTATCAAGAGACTTGGTAGTGACAGTTTGATAAGGACACCATAGTTTATTGAACTTGTTCTAAAAACAACAGCAGCAAACCACTTATCTCCTCACACTTTTTTAATGACCTTGTTCTGTGGTGTCCCTGTTTTTAGATGCAGCAGATGTGTTATTGACTGCGTGGCCTCGGAGCGTACAGAGAGCTGTGGGCATGTGATAAGGTGAATTTTGATATTATACCATTAAGAATTCTAGAGATCTGCATTTCTCCAATTACCTATTGAGAAAGGGGAGGTCCAGAGTGAATTTTAACTTTCACCTTGCCATCAGCTTCAACCAATGTGAAAGAAATGGCTTGTCAGGAAAATGAGGAAAAAAAGATTGCTGGGAGTTGCTTTTCTCTCTGCTCTCCACAATGTCCAGCATCACCAGAGACAGTGAACAAGAAGGCTACCAGACTTCACTGTTTCAGGATAACACATTCCTAGAGGATGCACATAGGGAAAAATAAGCTCAAATAAATGTAAAACTAGAATGAACTATAAAGGCTGATTTTCTTACATATTTTCTCTTTTTTGAGTTCATTTTATTCTTTTTTTGCAGTTCACATGGCCCAAATATGTTCCTGTGACATTTCCAAAGATTTTACTATAAGCACATTTAATATCATATATAACTCTTTAACCATGTTCTTAAGCTTTTTAAAATTGCTATTGCTATTTTTTGGTTAAATTCAAAGTCAGTTTTATTATAATGGTGAAATTCTGATTAGATTCTAGTCTCTGTAGAATTTCTGATCTTTCTGCTCCTTGCAGTTAAAGCAACATAAGGAGCACTCAGCCCACCTATTTTAACATTGTCATTCAGTTATCTTTTTCAGCCTATAAATACTAGTCTTCTGGTTGTGCCCTAGAGACCTGTGGTTCCGTCTGTTTTGGAGACAAAACCACACTGTTTTAGGTGGACACAGTCTTGGAGGAATGATAGAGCAAATCTATGGGGTACTTCAATACAGATCTAGTGGTAATACTTTTCAACAATAACCAACAGAGACTTTGTGAGTTGAGAAAAGAGCCTTTTGCTTTGTGTACCTCTGTAATACAACTGCTATTACAGTGATGAGGGAAAGACAGGGCACATTTCTAAACACTGGCTTATTTTTTGGTGACTTCGCATCTATTTCTCAGAAAACTTTTATTATATCCCTCTCCTCTTTGAAACTTTCTCCTACTTCTGAAGCAAAAAAGAAAGGGATTGTCCTGTCTTCTCACCCCCGGTTCTAGATATGATCATAAAGAATAAATTATGAAATATTCCAGGCATACCAAAATTTATAGAGGAAAATATAGCGAGGATTGACTACCCAACATCTGTCTTAAGAAATCAAACATTACAAACATAAGCTCCCTGTGTGTTCCTTTTGCCTCCTCAGAGGTAAACACTATTTTTTGTTTTTATACTTTTGCTACATGTGTACATCCATAAACAATATATAATTGTGAGTTGCACATTTTAAATTTTTATATGGGAGGTCTCCTTTTCCTCATTATTTTTAAGAGGAACTAATATACAGAGGTCTGGTTTATTGATCTTTACCACTTACAAAGTATTCCACAGCATGGATATACAATAACTTGTTTATCTAGTCTTTGGTTGATACTTAAATGTATATTTAGTACAGTTCCCTTGAGCAGTGTGTGAGAATTTCTTTAGTAGGCAGACCTAGGATTTGAAATTTTGGATCACTGGATATGAACATTTTAAACTTCACTAGATATTGCTGGTCTCAAAGACTGGATCACCAGCGGTGAAGCCCGCAGGTTGTTTAACAAGCTATGATCAAAGTTCGAGATTCAGTCTAGATGGGGGTAGTGGTGGTGGGTAGTATGGCAAGAATTTGCTTTTCTAACATGGCCATAAGAGAGGCTGCTGCTGCTGCAGTTGTAGTGTCTGGGACTGTGCTGTGAGAGAAACTGCTATAAAGAAAGCCTGCATGTGCGTGCCAGGTCGCTTCAGTTGTGTCCAACTCTGTGCAACCCCACGGACTGTAGGCTGCCAGGCTCCTCTGTCCATGGAAAACCAGGCAAGAATACTGGAGTGGGTTGCCATGCCCTCCTCCAAGGGATCTTCCCGACCCAGGGATCGAACCCACATCTCTACATCTCCTGTGTTGGCAGGCACATTCTTTATCGCTACCGCCACCTGGTAGCTTCATAAAGAAAGCCTACTGGGTTCCACTTCAAAAGAGAGAACTGATGAGACACTATCTAAAAATATGCAGCTGGTAAGGTTTTATTAGGTAACTGAGAGTTAACCTGTGGTAATAATTTTGGCATTCAGATTCTTGAAGACATTGACTAAATAGTATAGATAATAGAGAGTAAATAGTCAGCATGACTGATTGTCATAAAAGGCTAAATTCTGAATGAGTTCTGTTGCCTGGATGGGACCTCTGTACATGCTCCTGCTGTTGCTGTGCTGAGAAGGGCAGGTAGATGGTGTCAGGCCATGGTGTGCAGTAAGCTTGGCTGATATTACTTGGTGCATTCATTAAGCCTAGGTACTGACCTAGATGCAGGTGGCAACATTCACTTAGGCGTTCCTGAAGAAAGATTTAAGGCTATTAAGTCTTACTGACTTGGCTATTTTTAGATATTTATATGCAAAACAAACTTATCAATCTTTGTATTACATAATTTAAAAATTATATTTCAAAGATAGCAGAATGCCAAGGGGTTTTCCCTTAAATAGTCTTCCTGTAAAACTTTTGAAAACAAAGGCTTCACAGATTTTAGGGTAAAAAGATACAAACAGGCTTGCACAGTCTGCAAATGGTTAATATGAAAACTGGAAGGAAAGAGATTTTATTTCAGATTTAGCATTATAAAAGGTCAATTAGAAAAAAGAAAAAAACATATACCAGTAGCCAAAAGCATTTGCTTACATCATTCCACAATTTACATAAGAAGATAACTGTTTTTCAAAACCAGACAACAGGTTCAAAAATACTTCTTTTCACACCCTTAAGTGATGTTGTTGGGAACAATGGCTGTTATAAGGCCATTTATTGCAGGCACATTTCCAGTGAGTTCTGGTTATCATTACTCTCATTTTATCTTCTTTCTTTTTTCTCTCTCATCAGCTTTTTGCTTTCTTCCCTTCTCCTTTTATTCACTGGATTCCGAGGATCATAGATTTCAAATGTATCTGAGTCTTGCATGCTTGCATCTTTCACTTTTCTGCTTTTATCCTCAAACTGAAGTACATGCGACATCCTAAAGTGGGAGAGAGATGGTTCACTGATTTTGGCATAAGAATTGAAAGAAGTTCTACACTACACTTGTCTTGGCATAATGAACCAAAAGGCTACAAAACATCAAGATGGGTTTATTGTTTACTGGTGCTTAAACCACATGGAAACCAACTTCTCAGAAAACACTTAAATTTGAAAAACATGTCTGGAGTTTGTTTTGTTGGTTTGTATTTCTAGTAGTGAGTCTCTGTGCTTCAGACTTCACTTGAGGTTCCTTCTTTAATGGGAGGTTAAAAGAGTTCTACCCAGAAGTCTTCCTTCAACTAAACTCAGAGAACATTCTGTCAGCTTCCTTTAAAGAGCACACTCACTGAGCCAGAGTGAGCCAGGTTGCAAAGCAAAACCCTGACAGTAAACCAGTCCTATCTGATTTGTTTTGTTTGCAGTAGTTAAATGGGTCAAGTAGGGAATGTGTTCAGAAAATTCCTGTTCAAATGGTGTTATGACTCCCTTTTCTGGGGAGCTGCTGAGTTTTAAAAAAAATTTGTACAAAAAGAAACTGAGCTTTGGGCACAGATCCATGAATTAATTTCCTCCTCTTACTGTTGATTACAACAAATCTAACCACCCTACTTCCCTACTTTATCAAATGCTTACTGGTCTTAAGGTATCAACATGTGCTTGAATCCTAAGTGGTCATAAGCTGGCTATGCTTAGTGGCACAGAAATGTGTAAGTGATTGGCTCTGCCCCCATTAGGAGGTGTTGGTAATAAATAGGGAAGTCCCAAAACTAGATTCTAGGGCAGCTGAATAAATTTAGAAAGAAAAAAGTTCAGTTTTTTGATATATAAGTAAAACTACTAAGGCTTCTTTTTCTCACTAGATATTTAAGCAATTTTTAAAACAAGCATACCCAGCACTTTTCTTTATCATAGCAGATATGGCTAAATTGCCTCAGGATTAACACTCCCCACATGTCAGCTGTAACTTTCAGATGAAATCCAAATATTACAGTGATTTCTTTTTCCCTCTATAAGCAGAAATTGGGCAATAGGTACTAGCAGAAATTCCCACCCCCTTTCTTCCTGCAGTACCACAAATGCTGGGTGAAGTTTACTTGTGTTAAGAATTCCCATGGATATACTTAGATTTTTGAAGAATTCGAAAAAGATTTTGTGAGTGAAATGAAATGTTACAATATTAGTGATACTACAATTGCAAAGAATTCAGTAGGGTTGACTGTCATGAGTTGACAAGCCATATATTACCACCATTCCCACCCTCTTCTTTCCCAGAAAAGCTTCTTAGAATGCAATGAGTACAAGTGATATTATTATATGGATGACCTAGAGTCTAATTTACTAACTGAAGTAAAGCACATTTGCATTTCTGTACTTTATTATTAATATATTATTTGCATTAGATTTCATAACAGTATCACACATGAGAACTGCTGACTTTTTATACTTTCATGGCTTTAACTTTGGAAACAGCCTTATTTAGAAAGTACATTATAGGATTATTGCTTATTAGATGGAATCCTCCGAGTATGATTTTCTCATGCTTTCATGTTCTACACTCTTTAAGTATTAGCATCTGAAAATAAAACAATCCTCAACTCCTAGCAAAAGGCAATTACTCTCTAGCCATGGTAGCAAGGGACCATTAGAACCAGACTGAATCGATCAAACAGGATTTAATCAATTAATGATGGCCTGCATAGGCAAAAATGATCAGTGGTAACTCATTTCAGTAAATGTACCTCTGAGAGCCAAAAAATCAGTGACAGCCTCATGCTTTTGAAAGTTGGCCAGTCAGTGGCAGAACCACACCAGTGAACACGCTTAGGAAAGCCCGCCAATCAGTCACCAGCAGCCTCTCCTTAACAGTGGTGTTTCGGAGGCTGTGATCAACTCTGAGATGATCCCTAACCCTAAAACTCTGCATAAGGTTTGCAACCTGCTTTGCTCAGAGACTGTGCCTAAAAGCAAGCTCTTTCTTACTATGCTTTTTTCCCCCAGATGCTGAGAGGTAGTCTTTTTCTTTTTCTTTGATACTCCTTACAATCTATGGAGCATTCCCTACAGAGTGTGCTCTTCAGAAACTGTAAGTGTATTACCACTGACGAGGACTAAGTTTAGAACTGTAGCAAGACTGTCCTGTTAAAGGTCCTTATCACACGTCATGGGGAACCCAGACCCTAACACTATATTTTGGTAAGTGTGCAGCAGCTTTCCATATGACTTGTGCTGAGGCTAAGCCCAAACCAGAAAATAGCTGGAATTATATTCCCTTTAAAACAATTTTGTTTGCTACCCCTATATTAGTATAAAAATACAACCCCCAATATCCTAGTTAACTTAATATCTTTCCATATACACATTCTTCTATTTTAAAAAGTAGTCCTTTCTCTGCCCCAAAAGACAGATGGGTTTGTTTTTTTTTTTGTAATATCCACTTCTAGTAGGGGCTTGTCCATGTTTCAATAATGGCTTTATCAGAATTTGTCAAATAAACCCATTAAAAGGCACCCTCCTTTCTAGGTCATGAGAGAATCTTACAACTACTGGATTTAGTTGGCTTTGGTGTTAAGAAATAAAGTCTAGACATGTGAATAATAGCACAAAAGTCCACAAAAAGAAACAGATTTTCCTACAAATCTGAAAAAACAGAAAGCTGTAAATTAAAGTAGCTGTCATTTTCAACTGTTTGTTTCATACACCACTGCACTAAACAAGTCCAACATTTTGATTAATAACAAACCTAAACCCAGAGGAAAGAAGGGGCTATCAGCTTACAAACTACTTCAGCTTTAATATCATACTACTTAGCATGGCTGGTTACTCAGCAATAATATTTAATGTTTAATTGAAATAAAAACATAATCAAAATGCTTCACCCATTTATCTTTCAACATGCTATGGTCACTTCATTTTAAAAAGCAAAACAAAACAGTTATTATGATTTTCAGCATAATAAACTCCTGACCTGTGTGCCTTCATAAATCACAGACTGCATGAATTGAAAGCATGCCCACATTTTACAGTCTCCTACAAGAATACACACGCAGACTTATCATACAGACTTAATTCAAGTACATAAGGTCTGGTAGTTTATAACCCTGTATGTACTAATAACTCAATACTATCCACTCTGTGGCTGCTTATAGAATTGGGCCAACAAAAGCAGTGAAGTTTTTGGAATTACACATATCATTTACATATGAAAATTTTAGAGCATGTTCAGCTGAAGGCAAAGACAAATATTTAGTTCTCATTAATTGAAAATTTTACATAAGATCAGATTCTCAAGGAAGAACATTGACTTTAGTGGTTACAGAAATGTGGAGGCTTTCCATGTCCACAGAGGCTGCGTCTGACAGGTGTATGGTCAGGCCCTTCAAGATGGCGGTTCTCTTGCTCTCTGTACAGTCCCTGCCTCAACCAGTCCCTGCTTTACCACATGACCCATCTTCCCGCTCAACCCCAGAGCCCCAGCAGTAACCATTACATGTGTGACCCCCTGTCCCAGGAAGTGACTGTTCCAGTGCTGAGAGCAGAACCACCCACCAAGCGAGGCTATCAAAGGGGCGTCTTGGCCCCGTGGCGACTGTTAACCTGAGGGGCTGGCAGAGACTTGCTCCTCTGCTGGTTCCCCTGGTAACTGGTGAGCCAGTCTGACATCAGTCCCCTGTAAATGGTAACCTCCTCCTCCCCCTTGTAGCTGAGACCTCTGCTTCCTCCTGCCTGCCATCTGCCTGTGGGGTGGGGTCACTCCAGGACCTTCTGCTTCTGACTTGGGAGATGCCCTATACACTACACCTTGGGGGACTTTGTCGCTGTTTCTGGTTCTTTCTTTGGTCTCATGGGTGGGACCAAAGGCTCATAGGCCAGTGGGGTGCAAACAGGTAAGCTTATTTTTCTTTTTTGTATGAGACTGTGTGGAATTATAAACAGAAGTAAGCAAGTAATTCTTCAAAAGGGACCTGGATACTGACCAAACTGACATCTGTTTTTAAAACCTCTTATATAATTGTGAACTATAGTAAGATGTGACAGCAGTTCATATTCATTGGGAAAACGAGAGGTCCTTATTCTCAGACATACAGTAAGTAGTATTACAATACAGAATTCCAATATTCATAACTCATTTCTGATTGAAATGCATTTAAGTTATATTTAATATAAACATCTTTCCCATTATCAAGTCTTCCTAACATAGGAACTTACCACCCTGCGCTGAGACTGTTGTAGGTATCTGTACTGTTTCTCCTTCTTCTAACCTCCAAAGGTTCTAAAATAATCTTTCTTATGTTGTTGTTGTTGTTTAGTCACTAAGTCATGTCTGCTTTTTTTGTGATCCCATGGACTATAGCCTGCCAGGCTCCTCTGTCCATGGGATTTCCCAGGCAAGAATACTGGAGTGGGTAACCATTTCCTCCTCCAGGGGATCTTCCCAATCTAGGGATCCAACCCATGTCTCCTGCATTGTAGGCAGATTCTTTACTGTTGAGCCACCAGGGAAGCCCTAATCTTTCTTATACATTTTCTTTATAGCATATCCTTTGACCAGAAACTATCAGCTATTGGATTCCACCGAAATACCTTAGCCTGACCCTTAAAACTCTTTGACAATGGGATCTTCCTATCTCACCAACTTAATTTTGTTTCTTTCATCAACTTTCACCATTTGTAATTGCCTGTTTACTTGAGTTTGAACATCAGTTATTTCAGACAGTTTGTCTTTTTCACAGCTAAGCTCTCTGTGCTGGGAATCAAAGCCTTCAGACCCTCTGTACTGGCCAGGCCCCCTGGCTGGAACTGGCTGGTTTGCTAAACTAACACTTAACCTCCTTTCATGGGCAGGGACTGTTTTTTATTTCTGTAATAAACTTCTAAATGTCTAACAGGTTCTGTAGAAACTCTGGGGCTCCGCACAGGCCCACCTTTTCATGACCTCTCATAGATCGGCTCACATTGATGGCTGCTTTTCCACTGCTCTCAGATCAGTGATGGCTAGTT